GCGCGCTCAGACCAGCTCGCTCACTCTTTTCCTCTTCCATTTTTAGGGCAATTGTTTTGTTTGATAGACGAAGCTTAGGGTCTCTTTGGGTTTGCAACCCTTACCCTCCTGGAAAAAATCATAGTTGCTAGCCTGCGACACTTCAGACCAGGTACTATTAGAGCCGCTAATGGACGACGAGCTATTTTCCGCTATCCGGAGCTCAAGCATTTGAGCCGCTAAATGGACGAGACTCCTGGGGTAAAGGATGCAGAGAATAATGAGGAGAAAACACTCGTATGGAGCAGGGAGGAGGTATTGTACTACTTCCTGGTATGGAGCACTGAGAAGCGGTAAGTCTTAGGGCAATTCTTAGCCAGTAATTACTTTCTCGCCATAATAAAATAATATGTTCTCGTTTTTCGTGTCTTCTGTAATGCCAGTACACTAGCAGTACGACTACACTGTAGGCGAGAGTCCATAAGCCAGAGTGTGCAGCTCTCCATGTATGCAGCATAAACAAATTCATGACAAATTTCCTTTGCCTAAGGGCTGGGTTCCACTGCCGCTCCGCCGCACATCGTCCACGGCATGAAACGTCATCATTACGAGCTGGTCCAGCGAGGCCGCGGCTCATCACCAGCTTTCGCTTCGCTGCTTGATACAAAAAATGCAAGCCGCGGTCACGGCTTGCATTGTTTCCCGCACTTAATTGTTATATTCGGGGGAATTTTAATTCGTTGCATGGGCCAGAACACGAGGATTTTTTTGGATTTCACGCGCGCTCAGGCAGGCTAAATGTCATCAAAAAACGTCGAGCACGATCGCGGTACCGTGAATGGCGAGTGTCACTGGAACCGCGCCGCTCTGCTGCATGCAGCCAAGTACCGTGGAGCAGCGGAGCTGCGGAGCCGCAGTGGAACCCGGCCCTAACGAAACTTATAGCAATTTGAAAATGTTTGACAATTTTTCATAAAAAACTTGACAACATTGTTCTTCTGTAGAGTGCCGCTGGCAACTCCATCGATGAACTCCATCAATGAGCGCAGGGATAAAGTTTAGAAACCCTTCGAGCGAGAACGTGTTTTCAAAAAGGAAGCACAAATATGCCGCGTAACTTCCCCTCTAGTATGGCCCCATCAAAGCCACTCGCTGACTACTTACCAGTAAAATGGGGTTGGACGGTTGTCAGATTAGCTGATATGTTTTCTGCCAACACAACCACAAGCAGTTGTCAACTCTCAAGACTAAAAGAGCTTGCGAAGAAAGTGAGAAACCTTGGCTATGAAAGCACATGAAGCGTCAGAATAATCGAGCAAACTTGGACCTAGATTACCAGCGTCTGCTCCAGAGCCGGGTCAGTGACCCTGTTTGTGAGTACTTGGACCTTTTGGAAAAAGAACACTGGGTTACCTGCGACCCGGTCGGAAGTCCTGTCGAGTACTATACTTTTTTTATACTTCGAGGGTATACCGCCACTGACAGGCTGCATACGCGTGCAGATGCGTGCGGCCAGAGTGCCCAGTGCGAGTACGTTCATACATGTACCGCCAGAGCGCCCCACCATCTCGTCCTTTCGTGGCCGCCTTGTGGAGGTGGATTTCTGTCTGTAGGTCATACGACACGGACCTTATACAAACATTGCAGATTGTGCAGTCAATCCGTACCCAGTTTACCTTCGAGCTCCACATAAAAGCATACCAAGTGTGACCTTAGTACACGAAGGTTCTCACATTGTACAAACTTAGTAGCATTCTGCCATACGATTTTCTACCCTTGGCTGTAAAATCAAGGTGGGGCGCTCTTGCGAGACGGGGCGCTCTGGCGGTACTTTACGGTACATGTACAATCATGTACATCAGGAAGTCGAAAGTAAGTTTGCGACTCCCTGACACACAGTAGCCGCACTTGAACGCATCTGGCTCTGGCCCAGTGTTGCAGGAGTTGTGCCAGGTAGACGTGTACCCGGTTTGTGTTAAATCTTAGAGCAGGTACTGCATACCCTATCATATCTGTGTATATGGGTATACAGAGTCAGTGTTGTTGCGTCCCACTCAGCACCCTTCTGGTTCATTTCGGCACCAGCACTCTTTGCGTATGCAGAGTTGAGTAGAGTGCAAGTTCGGACCACAAGTACACTGTAGCAGCTAGTAGCAAACCTAACCTGTGCCGTGATGCACGGCACGTGTGTGCATCTACTTCATCCCTGAGTAACACACCTGGTATATTGTGCACAATAGGGCACAGTAACTAATCAGCATGCATCGCAGTTTTCTGCAACATATTCCTGAAGTCACTTTACACCTCAGAAGAATTGCGTCGCTGACTGGAATTCGATACCGGTTTAGTTTCTCTCTGGGTCATTATGAATCATAGAAAACCCGTCATACAATAGGTTCAAGCTAAAGTACCGTATCACCATGGTAATTCCTGGAAATTCGGTGTGTTTTCTGCGTTTTGTTAAACAAGCAGCAATGTGCAACAGAAATTACCATGGTGATACAGTAGATTACCGTGTGAAGCGGTGTGAGATGCAGCAAAGGTGAGCCTGTTACTGTGAGTCTATGCCCGAAACAATAAACTTTGCCGTGGGATGATTATCTTTGGGCTGCACACTCTGCACACTTATTGCTAGGTATATCATTGGTCTTGTTCGGATCGTCCATTACGTTTGCAGCTGTTCAAACTTGTTTTGTTGTTTATTATTTTATTGATTTATTTATTCTACTTGCCTTTCCTATCTTCTTGTGTTTTAGCATTAGGCGATTTGATCGCAGGACAAGAGAGGAGCTGATGGCCGATCTCTCCAGTGTCCCTCTTGGTTCGGAGCAGCGCCGAGTGCTGACGTTGGGACTTGGGTAAGGATGAGTGTTCCTCATGTTTACAAGTTATCCGTTTTGTCCAACACTAACGGTTATATGCAGAATGCTGCTGAGTCAAAATGTGCAACAATTAGCACAAAAACTGACTGATGAGATCCTGACATTCAACGACCTGATGCTTAGCTGCATCACGTTTATATCCGTTAGTGTTGGACAAAACGGATAACTCGTAAACTGATGGTCCTCTTTTTCAATTTTTATCCTTGGCTCTCCATCCGAGTTCCCTCGTGTGTGTAGCTATTATTATTTTTTTGGTGACAGTCAATTTTTTCTTCAGACTTTTCCCGTTTGTGTCTTTCCCTCAAACTAGTCAATATTTTTATTTACTTATTTTTTTGCCCAGGGTCTACATTCTACCTTTATTTTACTTAGACTAGGGTTAGCTGTCCGTTTACCAGTACTCATCCACACATATGTGCACATAGGGTCTACACAGAACTCTATCAGTAGTTATCACTCTTCTATATCGACCTCCACTAATTCTCGTGATCCTTGACTGGTCCTATATTACCCATATCGCCGCAATATCGACCGCTTATATCGACCACTTAGGCATTGTAATCTTTCGACTTTGGAGAGACTTAGAATTTTTCTCTCCACTTCAAAAAGTGAAATTGAAAGAAAGAAGACAAAGGAAGAGAACAAGCAGGATTTGAACTCACAGCAGTATGAATCTCAAGCAACCCCTTATACCACCCAGCCACTGTGCTGCAGATGCTGAACTCTGTTGTTCCTACAGGCTTGTACCCAAAATAGGCAACATCCTATGTACACTATAGTACAAATGCTATACTAAAAATTTTAAAATAGCTCCTAAAGGTTCAAATTTTGGGGTTATGGCAAAGGAATCGTGATAAATAAGATATTGACCTCGACTTCGGTCTATATGGGAAATATAGGCCTCGTAAAAGACCTCGGCGGACCTCGGTCTTTTACTCGGCCTATATTTCCCATATAGACCTCGTCTTGGTCAATATCCTATACATATTTTGTGTATAGGGGGTTGTCTATCCACCGAGATAGCACTATATACTCCCATTCTGTGTGTTCTCTGGTATGTATGTCCCTTGGAGACTATACGGTGCCAGTGTGGTGACCGAGGTCAGGCCGTGTCTGCACTGGCATCGTCAACTTTGCCTACTGCTACGTGCTCCCCAGTGCTCCATCTGTGTCCTATAATTTGTTTGGGGAGGGGGGGGGGGGGGGCAATACCGGTACTTCAGGTTCAGGGGGCGAGGGGGGGGGGGGGGATGGGGGGGGGACATCATGCCCCCAATGAACCTCTCCAGGCGTTGTTCTGGAGTAGACTAACCATAGGCGGAGTGTACACATGCAGCACATAGTTTGGGAGCTAGAACGCGATCAGACTCAGGCATATTCAAAGGCAGTCTATTGTGATAGTAGTCCTGGACTGATCTCACTATGATGATATAGGTCGTGCCCAGCATCACAATGCCAAACATTATAAATGACTGTTTTTTTTTGCCTGAGGGGCTAGATGAGCATGCGGCGAGACTGCCGATGGCAACCAACAGGCTCAAGGCTGTGTTGAGACTTCGTATGAGCGACCCGAGTCAATTGTTTACTCACCATGACTAGGCATCGCATTGAGCATCGTATGCCCACTAATATATGTCACTGTTCTTAGTCGCACCGGGGGCGCATGCCCGTTTTCAGGAGACACACATAAGCCCTGGGTCCTGAAGGTTAGGCCTATTGTTAATCTAAATAGTCCTGGCTACTTTCCCGCTGAGTTCACTGACTTTCTACTGAACCCGTATGTATGTGAGGAAAGTACTGTTCTGACCTCAACTGCGGATTTCATCACTGACTTGGTAGAAGGTTTGCCTGTGCGGGACGATCATTTATAATTGAGTATAGATGTGACCAGCCTTTACTACACCAACATCCCCAACGAGCTTGGTTGTCGTGGTATATCACACACAGGTGTACAAGGTGGACGCCCCTCGCCCTTCGTACATGGTTATTAACAGCAGTGGCTTCCTTGATGTCAGTCATTCGGAAGAAAAATGAGTTCGTGTATGGTAACGATGTGTTTCGGCAGATCCAAGGGACTGCCATGGGTTCGCCTGCAGCAGTGGTCTATGCCGACATTGTTATGCTGTATTTGGAGAAGCGGTACATTTTGCCGATCTTAGAGGGGGAGGGTTTAGAGGTTCAGGTTTATAGACGCTTTATAATTGCATGGTTGCGAAGGTCAAGTTCAGCGCACTTTAGACAGGATTAATAAGTGTTCGGCCCTCAAGTTTTCTCATGAACTGGCACATGATGGCATTGATTTCCTGGACACCACAGTTTTCCGTAGTAAGGGATACATGGCGGTGAAGCCTCATTTCAAGTTCACCAATCGTTTCCTGTATCTGCTTGCCGGTAGTAACCACCCCTGTAGTATGGGCAAAGGTGTGTTCACTGGGGAGTTGATCCGTATCCGTCGGTTTTCGACCCTTGACCACCACTACGAAGCTGCTGCCGAGCGGCCGAAGCAGGCTTTCCGGGCCCGTGTATACAAGCGCTCCATCTTTCAGACCCGTACACTAGGAATGGATGCGCAGGGAAGGTATGTTGGTCGGATTGGCATGGGTTTGGGTTATTTCTGTAGTTGTATACAGTGCTCCTCATTGTATTTACCTGGGCCCGGCCTGCTGTCCTTCGCCCGTTGGTCTTGAGGTCCAGGTGTAATACCCCTACCATACAGTCCGGTGGCCAGCGCGGTTGTTGTTACACGGTGGAACATCGGCAAGAGGTTGCTTGCTCGTTTGCCTCATGCTCAGTGTCCTCAGGGAGTTAGTATTTTCCTCCTGTTTGGATTTTGCAGTGTCTATTGTGTCGGTAATTGAGTTTTTGTTCTGTATGCTTTTCTGTGGTGTGTGGCTGTTGTTCACACATCTTTATTTGACTTGCTTCCTGGTGTGGTGTACCTTTTTGTTTTATGTTGGTGTTGGTCTGGCTGTAGAGTTCTAGCATCCGTAGCTGCCTCAGGGGGTGCCACTTTTCCCATCAGCGTCGACTAGTCCGCCGGTACGTGGTGCTTTATCACGTTTAGTTGTCTTTTCCATCCTGTACGGGCTGTGTCCTGCTGACCACACAGTCTGGGTCTCCATACTTTGCATGTTCTCATCGTGTGTAGTGTTCACACGTACATATATGGACTGTCACACCCATATGTTGTACATGTGGCTGCACGTGTTGTCTCTTTGTCGTACCTGCTGCTGTATTTGTGTCTCTGTGCTGCTGACCCGTACATGCTGCTGCGCTGCTTTGTTGTATTGCTGACACGTGCACTTTTTTGTGCTGATATGATATCGAGTACGCCGCTTTTTGTGCTGAGGAGGGCACCACTTTCCGATATCATGTTTCCTTTCGCCATATCAGTTGTCAGTTCTCCCGTCATTTCCTGAAGTGTAGTAATGAATAGCTCTCTCTCTAGCTCTAGAGAAAAACCACTTGATTAGTCCGTTTGATGTGTGGCGTGGCGAGGGTATAGTGGAGGCAGCTCGTTCTCCAACCGAGACGACATTTGGCGCCCAACGTGGGGCTCAAACCCACGACCCTGAGATTAAGAGTCTCATGCTCTACCGACACATATATGCACGCGGCACCGTTTGTGCTCCTATCCATTTACATATGCTGCTTTCCACACCTGTGCTGACAGTCAGTACGCACCGACTCTGTACGCATGCACGCACACCATTACATTCTGTTGGCATCATATTAGTGAGGTTTTGCATTCCGAAATTCGGCAAAAGATTCGGCACGCGGGAGCGGGGTCGAAAATGCACATGAAGATGCGGCATGTTTGTTCGGAAAAAGCTCACTTTGCCGAACATATTTTTTGGATGAATTTTCTTGTGGAAGAGCGCTAGCGCGTGATTTATTCAAAGAGGTTTCTTATATTGGCATGGCTTCTCAGGCGTCTTTGACAACATCAGCATCGTCAGCTACCTCTGATTGCTCCTCTCCACTGCCTGTCTACTCTCTTTCGCCTGGAGTGTCCTCACCGTCATCTGTGTGGCTGAAAAGACTATGGCGATACCCATAAAATTTGACTTGGCCATGGAGTTGGTTTTTCTGAGGCGACTGAGGAGGCAGGTTTGGCCCTCAACTCTTTGGGCGCGATCAAAGTTTGTCGGAATCAGCAAGAAAAGGAGCACGGGACAGGACGTTGCTGATGCTGGGGCTCACGAAATCAAAACACATCATTTTCGACTTGCAAAACAAACGTCGGTGCGAAAATTCGACATTTTGATGTTCGACAAATGATCAAAGAACGCCGAGCCGAAATTCGGAATGCAAAACCTCACTATTGCGGAGCTTTCCGGAGCTCCGAGTTAGTTCTTGTTTGGAATACAGCAAGAGAACAACATTACATTGGTGCTGCGAGGAAACGCCTGATCCTCGCCATGTCCCTACTGTCACTACCGCCTCCGGAGCCATTCCCGATCTACAGCAGTCTCTACGACACTGCTGCCCATTTTCCTGCCTGGGAACGGTGTTTCCGACTCTATGTCGCAGCAGCCGGCATCTCGAATGACACTCGCCAGAGAGACACTTTCCAGTATGTGGCCGGCAAGGACATCCAGCAGCTCGTCCCTACGTTAGCCAACACTGGCAACGATCTCGACGGCCTCATAACCGCCGCCGCCGACTACTTTCAGTCGAAGCAAAGCCCCAGCATGGCCCGCGTCCACTTCCGGCAGGTCACCCAGCAGCCTGGCGAAACGTTACTACGGTTAGACACGTTTTATACTCGTTTGCTGGCATCGGCAACGACCTGCAGCTTCGCCGACGATGCCCAGAAGAACGTGGCTCTCTGTGATCAAATTGTGGCAGGATGCACGTCCGATCCACTCCGCAGAAAACTGCTGGAGACTGCGTCCCTTGATCTCGCCAAGGCACTCAAGGCCGCCAGAGCATTTGAAGCGTCAGTGGAACAGACGACGGCGTTCCGGCGCACACAAGACTCGATCAATGCCCTCCGTCATCAGCCACCGTTCTACAAAAGGACACAGCCGCCTCCTGCTACTGTTTCAACTCCGTCGCGTCGACCGATGCAGTCTTCGCCACATCCAGCTGCAAACTCGTTCCACCAGCCGTCTGCCCCAGTCGCCACTCGCGCTCCAGGCCAGCGGGAATCCAGCACATCGCTCTGCTACCGCTGTGGAGAGCCAGGCCACCCTGAGTCACGTCGCTACGCAGTTTTGCACTGTAAACGTCTGCCCATGGGCGTATGGTCCGCATCCGAGATCCTACAGCGCACACTGGACACCATGGCTCGCTGGCCTCGACGGTGTGAAGAACGTCCACGACAACATCTTCAACTTTGGTAAGAGCGTCGAAGAGCACAACCGACGACTCGCCGCCTGCCTCCAGCGGCTCCAAGATCACAACGTTACACTCAACCGAGCCAAATGTCACAAATGTCACATCCTTAAGCCTCGGCTCGAGTTCATGGCTAGCGTCTACTCCGACAAGGGCATCCGCGCCTCTCCCAGCCACCAGCAGTCTGTGGCTACATTCTCTACGCCATCTTGCGTCAGCGACATACAGAGTTTCCTGGGTCTCACCAACTTCCTCCGCCGTTACATTCGTAACATGGCCGATCTCACCACACCACTTCCTGCTCTCACTAAGAAAGGTACTGTTTGGCGTTGACCTGATGTTGAGCAGCAATCATTTGATGCACTGAAGAAGGCCATCGCCGAAGACTGCATGCTGCAATACTTTGACCGCAAGCGATACACATCACTGTATGTCGACGCATCGCCCACTGGCCTCGGCGCAATCCTGTGTCAACGCCAAGATAACGGCCACGATGCACCTGTAGCATTCGCCAGCCGTGCACTCTCCGGCGTCGAGCAGCAATATTCTCAAACTGAACGGGAAGCATTGGGTGTCAAGTTTGGCTGCCTTCGCTTTCACCACTACTTGACAAGGTGATCCACAGTTCACCGTTGTCACCGACCACAAGCCGCTCCTGCAACTCATGGCCGTCGGATCGAGACCTCCGCCACAAATTGAGCGCATGGTCCTTCGCCTGCAGGATCTCAGCTTCCAGCTCCAGTACAAGCCTGGCCCAGAAAACCCGGCCGACGTCGTCAGTCGCAATCCGCAGCCTCATCCCGACTTGCCAAACATCGGCGCACAGGAAGACACTGCGTACATACATGCCCTAGCTACAGCAGCTAAGCCGAATGCGTTGGCTCTGGAGGAGATTGCGGACGCCACCACCGCAGACACCACACTGCAAGCCATCCTTTCCTCTCTGCAATCTGGCCGCTGGGATTCCAACCACACCACGGTCCGCCCGTACTTTGCCCTCCGCCATGAACTGTCTGAGAGTGACGGTCTACTACTCCGCAACGACCGTCTCGTCATTCCCACGGCCCTCCAACGGCTTACCCTGCAGCTTACACATGCGGGCCACCAAGGTATTGTCCGCACCAAGCAACGGCTCAATAGCGAGGTTTGGTGGCCCAACATGGCGACTGAAGCCGAAGCACTCTGCCGGCAATGTATTCCGTGCCAAGCAACTCTCTCAACGACACCCCTACGTCCGGGAGTCCGTGCCCACACCACCGTCCACCAAGCCGTGGCAACGAGTCTTCGTCGATTTATACGGACCCATGCCAAACGGTCAGCACCTGCTTGCCACTATCGACCAGTTGACTCGCTACCCGGTCATCAACGTGTTCAGCACGACACCCACTACGGCCGGTGTTTTTAAAGCTCTGCGCTCTACATTATCCATGTTTGGCTTGCCCGAAGAGCTAGTCTCGGACAACGGTCCTCAGTTCCGTTCTCCGGCTTTTGCTGATTTCCTCGCGCAACACGCTATCCAGCACCGCCACACCCCTCCTTTGTGGCCACAAGCAAACGGAGCAGTCGAGTGCCTCAACCGTACCATTGGCAAAGTTCTGCGAACTGCCAAACTAGCTGGCAAAGACATCAATGTTGCATTAGACCAATGGCTCCTAGCGTACCGCACCACGCCACACCCTGCCACTCGCGAGGCACCGGCAACACTCATGTTTGGTCGCCCCATCCGCGACAGCATACCCTGCATTACGGCAGCCGCACCAGACTTGCCTTCAGCTGCCCACCGTGACCAGCAATTCCGCCAATCCCAGTGCGACGCTGCCAATGCCACCCGCCGGTCAAACGCCCCCATCCTCACTCCTGGTCAGCGCGTCTTACGCCTCAATGAGCAGGCACACAAGCTCTCACCACAGTGGGATCCCAACCCCTGGACCGTGGACCAGATTTCTGGGTCTACGGTGACGATCTCCAACTCAGCAACTGGCCAAAGATCGACTCGCCATAATTATGTCGTTCGTCAAGCCCGTAATTGTTGTCCGTGACACCGCCAGCCCATCACCCACTACTAGCTGAAAGTGCTGCCACCAGACCTTACAAAATTACAAAAAAATCACATGCAAGAAGTCCTTTCACTTTGACTACTGCTCGTTGCGTGACATCACTCCTCACCAAAGGACTTCCTGGGGATCACAATCCTAAACAGACAAATGTACGAATACCGCAACTGACTCTGTTGTTCTGCACGCCACGATCAATACGACTGCGTGCAAGACACAGCTGATCATCGTCGCTGTACTCTTCCCTGGGCGCGTTACCCTGTCGCTGCAGCCTGCGACGGACATTCCATAGTTCCACCAACTTGATGGCTTGATGTTCCCATTGATGTCGACCATGCGGTGTTGCCATTGACGACCTTCAACTTCAGGTCCTTGCCGTGGTCCGCACCATTCAAGAGATGGGCCACATTTGGTGTACTTTCACCCAGTTGGTCACTTATCTTAACCTTGCCGACTTTCCACTGCCGGACTGTTGCTTCAACAATTGGTGGAGAGCACATACGCATATCATCCCTCTTCCTTGCAAACATCATTTCCGTCTCCACCACGTCCTTATCAGCCTGATCCATGGCTGACACCCCCAAGGCACTGTCCACTGTGCCGCCGGGCTGGTGGAGCGACGGACCGATTCTCCAGTGACGGTCGTCGTCCACAAGGCTGTTGGAGTGCGCATCCAAGATGTGCTAGAGCTGTTCAGTGTCGTGCAATGCTATCGCATGAGCTGATTGTTTAGTAACTGGTGGTGTTAGTGGACAGTATAGCGTAACTTGTAGTTCGTTGGTCTTTCTCTTTTGTATAAACAAACTAGAAAGCTAACGATAAACTAGTTACACTGAGACAATTCGACTGGCACAAATTACAACAAAATCACATGCAAAAAGTCCTTTCACTTTTACTACTGCTCGTTGTGTGACAACCACCATCATCAGTGTGCGCATTGCGCCTGGTTTGGTGCATGCCTGGTGGAATCTGACATAGCGGCTGATGCAGTGGGCACGTCAGGTAACACCTAACGCATTGAAAATGACTCAACTATGACTTGGTTCGATTGCAACAAGCCTAATGATAGTGGTACCGAAACATTCGGGTAACCGGAGTAAGTGCCAATTGATATTTTTGGCTCCAGTCAGTCAAGTGATTCAATTGCAATACAATTATATACGTATGGTGGAACTCACTTAGTACGTACCCGGGTAAGACATACACCTGCATAGCACGATCCTCTTTGTCGCACGGATTTTCCTCCCATCAGCGCATATTCAGATGTGTACGGATACGACTGCTTCCTTCTGTTCATGTGATTCATTGTCGCTGTGTTACTGTATGCAGATCTCACTCAGCTCTGCTCTCCGAGCATTCTGCTTCCAACACGACTTCCCGAAAGGTATGTATGGTGGCTAATAAATAGTAATAATGCGAGAGTCTTGATGAATGGTAATAACTCCGGAAATCATGCTGGTGTATCGAGGGCGTTGGCCAATGAAGTGCTGGATTGATGGTGGATGAATGTACTGCAATCTTGGCTGGTCCCACTATCGCAGAGACAGCACTTCCTGGTGCAACCACCCTATCCTGCAATCTATATAATAATTATTATAAGAGATTTGTGTGAACGATTTTAGCATGATGCAAGTCAGCTTATTGTGCCGGGGGCCTGGCTACATGTCACTATAGCTTTTTATAGACTCAATCACCGCATTACGCTGCCTTGCGTTGACTTGATTGAGCACTCTTTTTGGTTAGTGTCAAAGGTATATGTAATAAGGATCTGCCTTCGTGCAAAGCTCTCTTTGTACGTGTCTTGCAGATAGCTCGCTGACTTTGATGCTTTGAGCCATTTTCAAATTGCTTTTTTGTTCATTTCATATAGACCGTATTGCCATTTGTTTAACCTCCCGCTCTGAGCTCCACTGATGGGACCTAAAAAGGCTGAAACAGCTGTCCGGAGATTGAGCATCAGTATTATGGATTTAGAATACACGATCTGGGGACAGCACTAGTACTGTCTAGCTGTTTCGTCCTTTGTGGACTCATCAGCGAATCACGGAGAAATAACTCTCAACTAAGGATGAACCTAGCAGCCATGAAAATAGATAAATAATGCCTCCAAGCCAGAATTCAAGGCTACATGTGTAGGCCCGAATGTGCCTTGCCCGAGTGCTGAAACTGGTAAGTCATTGAGATACGCATAGAACATCTGGCAAAGGAACTACTAAAGCCCCCACGAGCACGATATTCTACTTCAACAAGGAAGAATTTTGAAAGCATGCACAGCCCTACATGTATAATGTTGGTATAGGTAAGCCTTGTTTGATAAATTAACATGTTGATCGGTTGACAGCATGTTACAAGGCGGGGGACGCACTGTGTTAAAAAACAGTGCTCCTGATACACTAGTGTGTCCTCGGCTTTGTCACATGCTGTCAACCGATCAACACATACAACGTTGCATGCAAAACGGCTGCAGCCTCGCCGTACGGAGTGCTATTTTGGAAAATGCTAGATAAACAGCCTGTACTTATACAGGTGTTCTATCAACTAGTGCCATTATGACAACGGTAGCTGAATGATACATGTACATCCCGGGGTCATCATTGCAAGAACCTCTGGGTCTAAGCCCGAAGTAACATTCAACTACATGATTGTATACACCATCATGTATACCCCATCCTCGTGGCAACTGAGTCTACCCCTCACCCACTACTGCCACTGCGACGACCACAATTGCGCACAAACAGAGGACCTACTTCTAACTACAGTGCTGGCCAAACAAATCCAACCTTATGAATCAAATTGCGCCGGACGCTACGCAGCCCTGGACCGGTCTATGCTCTCGGACGGGGGACCGGTCTATGCTCTCGGACGGGGCGCTACTTTATTAACGAGGTTGGATTTCTCTGGCCAGCACTGTACAAAATACACACACAACACTGCTAGGCTTTCCACCACACTAGGTTTTGAAACCGAAGAGTGGCAAAATTCAGGGCCAGACTAGAAAATCTGGGGAGACCTGATGGTTTTTTTAAAGCAAAACACAGTCAACACTCTGCAGCCTCACAGCCTCAGGCAGGTTTTCACGAGTGCACAAAATTAAAAATTGTTGATGCACCACGAATACAGCCGGGCGTCACAGAACGTGGGACCCAGGAATGTACGTGTATACCTCTAGGAACAGCCAATAACGTTTTAAAAAGAAACGCAGTGTCAATAGACTCAAGTCTCTGCTTTTCTGGAATACAGATTCTGCTACACACGTATTGCTCACTATCCAGTGGGATGTGCATCTAAGAAAGTGGTACGAGAAGTCAAGGAACTAAGCCTAAGGCCAGATTGCTGAAAGGTTTTGTATAACTAACGAGCCTGACCCCTTGCAAGCAACAGCCGTGGATGCGTGGCTCTACTGTAATAAATGTACAGGTACACAAACAATTTGAATGCAGAAATAACAACAACAAACAGGGAGAGGTGTAGGAAAATATACTCGGACCCTAGTGAATTTGCTTGTGTATTAGCTTGAAAACTTTGGGTACACTTGTTGAGAGGCCTAACTGCATGCAGCTAAAACAGGGAGTGCCGTTGTCACCGACGACTTTTCCAGTAAAGTCGCGGCTAACATCTTCTCAGGTATTCCCGGGTCTTCGCTAAGGGGGAATGATATCATGTGCGTCTTCTATTGCTGATGTCGCTACACGCGATGGTGGTGCTGATGTACTGATTGTGGTGGAAGATATTGAGATGCTGTATGTCTCGAACCTTTTCGCCAAGTCTCCGCGGCCATCGCGCAAGAGGGTCGGGAGCACCACAACTGCAACGCCACAAATCCAAGGATCGATTCTCGGACAAAACATTCTTCAGATTGCCAAAGGTCCCCAGTGCTTGGCAATACTGGCCTGTACAGCATGAAAACACCACACAAACGCCCACACACCATGTACCATGTAAACGCCCGTTGCAGGAGAAGCACGCAAATCTGCAAATGAATTGGATGTGCACCCACAGATTTTCTCGTATAGAAACAATAGCTTATCTGAATCTGAATAAAACAGATCAAGACTAGTGCCAGATAACAGTCTAATCTGCACAAGGCACCTGGCGCAGCCATGTGAATCTCGAGCAAAAGGGACAAACATGTCCCCAATTATCAGCAAACGGGTGTGCGTTACAGGATTGGCCTGGCAACTTCAAACAGGCACAATCCACTAACGTGGTGCCCCGTCAACTTCAACGGGAACACACCGATACAAACACAGCCCCACAACAGCAAAACGGGAACGCCGTTACAAATATGGTGCCCTGGCAACTTAACGGGAACGCACCAACACAAGCTGGCCTGGCACCTTGAAACAGGCACAACTGACAAAACACGGCATCCGGCAATAGCAAATAGGTAGGTACACCGTTACAAGAACAGTCCATCGCACCAAAATGCTGCTGCCACAACATTATAGCAGTAGCACGCCAGACATGCATACATGGCATTCCCAAAAGCAGATACCTGGAGTCAAATTCATCCATCACACTGTTTGTTAGGGCTGAATTTTCCAGTGACAATAGCAAATCCCGCCTAAGGCACATGTGATGAGATCTGTACACCAACTATAGTCACAGAATCAATGCACATTAGTAGAGCATAAGAACTCACTTGCGCTCATACCCTGTCACGTAGAGATGCTACTCTACGTGTACTGTTCCGATGTCCATTGGGGTGGTATGCCGGCCACTTGCCAGATGTAGAGCTTTTAAGCCGTACTTTGCCACCGTCAGCTTGCCGTATCACCACCTCACTTGCAACTCTGGATTCCAGGACTGTCGCTCCAACAATGGGCATGGAGCGGGAGCTAACCTGATAACAGTTGAGAGCGTGACAGAGTATCTTATTTAAATAAGGCCGAGTAAGGTGGATCCCTTTGGCAAAAGTGAACACAGGCTTAGTGCTACAGGCATGGGCTGTTATGTACCGGAATAGCCAATACCGGGCATGTTTTGTCGACAGTAGATGGAACTGCGACGGCTCCACCGTATATGGCCGCGTCTTAGTGACCTTCAGGCGCAACTTGACAGTCAGGTGCGAGACTCCCAGCCTCCCACACAAATACTCTTTGGCTGTCAAACGAGTGAATACTAGTAGATGATGCCAAATACTCGCTGGCAAACAATAAGCCATACAAGGCCAGTAGTACACTTACCCACAGCATAGCCTGATCTACAATATGACTGATTGGATCGTTGTAAGTATTGCCGAAAATGGATTAAGTCGTCCACTAAAAGCTCTTTGAAACTCGGATGTTGAGCCAATATGGCAATAATAAAATTAATGTAGAAAGGAAAAGGACGTATGGATATGAGTGTAGAGTAACTGTCACTATATACTAAATACAGTCAGAAAGTGCAACAACTAGGCACTAAAACAGTTGACGACCCGACTCCTGGCTTCAACACATCTCCGTAGTGTTAAGGAGAGACCAAAGAGGGAAAGGTAATACTGGTTTCGTCATCGTCCAGTAACACTCAACATGTCTTGTTCCTGTGGGACTGTAGCTTCAACTACTAGCTTGTGCTCATTTTCGTTGCGCTTACCTTCCCCTCTATGGTCTCTCCTTTTAACCTTGAACCTTCCAAGTTGGAAGGCTGTTGGTTAGCGCTACGGAGATGTGTTGAAGCTAGGAGTCAGGTCGTCGAATGTCTCAGCACTCTGTCAGTTTTGTGCCTAGCTGTTGCATTTTTTTACTGTAGTATCTAGTTACAGTGGTGGACAGTTACTCTTAACTCATATCCATATGTCCTTTTCCTTTCTACCAGTCTTGCCACATCATTATAGCCAAATATCAGTAGGATGAAAAAAAATTAAAATGCATCATCCGGGGGCTTTGCCCCCGGACCTCCCCCCCCCCCCCTCCCCCTCCTTCATAGTAACCCCAATACACAGATACACAGACACACACGGGCGCGGAACTGTTAAGAAAACCTTTCACGGCTTTGCATGAGACTCAGGCTGAGTTTGCCGATTTTCCCCAGGCAACTGATGATTCGCTTAGCGCCTTAGGAGAGAGCTATGGAAACACTCGTGATGAGCAGTAATAGCCAAAAATCTGGACCATGACTTCTAAACCAAGCACAAGGGCAAACTTGGATACTTTCATGGCTGTTGTCGGCAGGAGAAGGTCAATTGTCAGCAGGTCATTACAGGCCTCAAAAATCGGCAGGCTACTGACATGTCGGCAGGTGTGGCAACACAGTTTCTACTAAAAGCTCTATCCGCAAATATGCCGAGGCGGCTTGCCGTCTCTCTCTCTATGCCGTGCAACACAACTGTTGAGCGAGCAGCTTTTAGGCCAGCCCCATTGCACAACAGGTAATAGGCTACTAATAGCGTAACGCAGCTAGGTAAACACGAATCGATGAAAGAGGCAGACTTCTTAGAACAAAGAGACTAGTTGTGAAGGACACAACATTTTCAGCAGTCAGCAGCAGGAGAAATTGCCACAAGGAAATTATTCCGGCAAAACTCTTAATTATGCAGCAATACTAGGCTTACACGTTTTAGTCATGCGTTCTGAGACGGAGTCCTTGACTAGCTCGTCACTGGCCGCACTCAGAGCAGCAGTCGTCACTACACATGGGTTGGGAAGCAATGGACAAAATTAACACTTGCCATACACACATGCACTGCTTACCAGCTAAGTTAATATGTCATACTGTACTGCAGCAAGCAAGGAACTGGCAATACCTGCACCAGGCCTATCTACTGTGACCCACGCCATTGTGAATGAGAAGAGGCAGCATTTGACAGTATGAGCGGTGTGATGAACGGGAATGCATAATACAAGCCAGTCAAGTTGGTACATGTACTTACGGACGCAAGTTGGCTGCACACCGCTCCACTGGCCGTTGATTTCACAAGTACGCACGGCCGAGCCCA